TAAAATGGACGTGTGAGACACACACACACACACACGCACACCCCACATGCACACACATACACCCCACCCCACACACACACACATTTACCTGGCACGGTGTGTGTGTGTGTGTAGGCCAATTGGTGGGAAGGCAGGCAGGCAAGCAAGCAGACCGACTGACTGACATACAGACAGACAGACAGACAGACAGACAGACAGGGGGATAATGTATATTAATCAGGGAGAAGCCCTGGCAATATGTCTGCTTAATGCAGGAGACTGCTGGCCAGGGACTGACAGCTACAGAACATTAACAATTAGCCTCATTTCAGGAACAAGGCAGCTTTACAGTAGAGCAAGTTTGAGGGTACAGTGGGGGGAAGTGTGTGTGTGTGTGTGTGTGTGTGTGTGTGTGTGTGTGTGTGTGTGTGTGTGTGTGTGTGTGTGTGTGTGTGTGTGTGTGTGTGTGTGTGTGTGTGTGTGTGTGTGTGTGTGTGTGTGTGTGTGCATAATAGATTAGGACACGGGTAATGCAATGTATGCCAGTGTTACATCAGAGTTCTCAAATGTACAGTATTTGTTTTCATAATCTATGCAGTCCCATACAATTCTATTTGTTATTGTCCCAAAGTTTTTTTTTCAGTCATAACCAAGCATGATACGCTATAAACCATTAGGTAGATGGTAAGGGGTGACTCCCATGAACACACACACACGTGCATGCAGAAACACACACAAACACACGTACAAACACACAAAAAGACACCAGACCCCTGTTATGTAATCCACCAGACAGTAAGACTCCCTCCCATTAACCCCCCCACCCCCCTCACCCCCAGGTGGCTCAATCCCAAAATGGCAGAATCCAAAACAAAGTAATTTGTCCACATACGGCACTCTTATTCAGGCATTCAACAAGAGCATTCAATCCCTAGTCAAAGAAGGATAACTTGACACAGAGACTCATGTCTTTTTTTATGACAGTGCCCCCATCCTCTCCAAAATATCCATCTCTTTCTCTCCCTCTCTTTTCCAACTCCAACGCCCACTCAGTCTAGAGTGACAGATTTCTCTTTTAGAACCCTCCAGCGAGAAACAGAGTGTTGGCCAGAATCCTGCCCATTCCCCCAGGGTGTGTGGTGTGTATGTGGCACATAGTTGGCTGAAGTACAGCATGGAGAGACAGAGATGGGCGAGAGGAGAGGGTGGGAAAGGGGGAGGAAAGCCTAGAGAAGAGGAGGGGATGAGAGCCATGTGGTTGATGTTAGTAAACAGTATCCAGTGTTGTTTTGGCATTGTGGTGGAGAGGAGTGGAGCGATATCAGTGGGGACAGGCCACACACGAGCAGGGATACAAAAAGCAGACAGACACCCACTGAAATACACACACACACTGAAATACACGCACACATACTGAAATACCCACACTCTCGCAGACAAATAAAAGAAAACACTCACACTCGCTGTCTGCCACTTTGCAGCTGCACCAGTTTCCATGGCAACAGAGTGAACAATGTAGGAGGGTGTTTGTGTGTGTGTTCATATCCACTTGGTGTGTGTGTGTGTGCGTAGGTGTATGTGGGTGGGTGTGAGTGGCTATGGGAGGGGGATATAGCTGTGGGGTGCTGAACTGTGGAGTCTAAGGACACACACACCCACACAAACTCTCAGCTCTTTTTCCTTTGTAAATGAGAGACAGACACTGGTCTATCAGTGCAGAGAGAAAGACAGAGAGAGAGAGAGAGAGAGAGAGAGAGAGAGAGAGAGAGAGCACATACAAAGACAGTCACGGAGAGACAGACCGAGAGAGACACACAGACAGAGAGAGACAGAGATATTGTTCACAGTATCAATGATGATGATTAATGTCCACACAGAGAGGTCATTATTTTCAATGTCTATTTATTTGTCAAAATGAGGTATTTCAAAGTGCTATGAGTTGCAGCACTAAATGTACATTATAAGAATGATACAACAAACATCTTATATCCGTTTACCCAGTAAGTTCTATGCACCCGATAGTTACAAATACATAAACAAATGGAAAAAAGAGAAAGAAAAAGATCAGGTACATGATGATGAACACATTTCTGTACAAAATAATTAACTTTGAATAGAGAGAAGAAGAAGGAAATTATGAGATAAAAAGATATCTACCAAGATCTCATTTTCGTACAAAAATATAAGTATCAAATTTATCACGATCACACTAAAGCGTAATAAAAATGTGTAGAATTAGTATCATGGTACAATACAAAGTAGAACGATAGAAAAAAACGAAAACAATATGTTGTTATATTACAATGTTTCGCGAGGCATTACAGTACTTTTTTTTTAAGGTAAAAAGTTTCCAGTCTATTAATCGGCAGCTTTCGGACAGAATATAAAACAAGGCAGATTCTGAGTGTATTTGTCTGTTATTTACATTAATGTTATTTACAAAAGTGTCAGCTAGCAAGGTACATAGTCATTACATCCATTGACTTGGGGCGCTATTCAATCTGTATCGCTGAAGCGTTACAGATTGGATTATATACATTTAAAGGTAATTTCCGATTGAGCCGACATATGCAGCGTTTACCATGAATGCAGACTCCGCTAATTTCAATCACCCTGTAACGCTGAACTTCTGCGAGACGGATTGAATAGAGCCCTTAGTTTGAGCACCAGTGCAAGAGAGGAAGAAAGAGAGGGAGAGAGAAAGGATGAGAGAGAGAGACGCCAAAACTTCTTGACATCATAGTTGTGAGCCAACGCGTGACAGCGTTACAGTCTTTGTTATACCGTGGTTTTACTAGTGTCTTCTGTTCGCAGTGGTGAAGGCATAGAACGAGTACTCTACTCCTAAGTGAGAACGTTGAACTCTGAACTTTCCAACCAACTGACACCATGCCCGGGGTGTATTTTTTACACACCCAACGGTAGAAAACGGACTGAAATAGGGAGGGAATACCTGAACTTGTACATTGAGAAATGCCGGTTTTTGCTTTCCGTTACAACATGTTTTGCCATGGTGGCCCTAATGAACATGACCCCTTCGAAAGTCACCGTGTTTGGGGCTCTATAAGTGTCACATTGAGTTTAAGAAACAAGGTACAAAAAAAGAAAATGATACAAAAGCAAGAAAGAGAGAGAGGACCCAGAGAAGCGTGCTCCCGCTCTCCTTTCTTTCAGCTCCCTCGTTCTTTTCTCTTATTTTTTTCTGAAAAATGTTCAACTCTAAACATTCTTAACGTCAACAAATGTGCAAAAAAAGTGGCGGAAGTAAAAGTCCTGTTGTGTCCCGGCCACCGGCCTCTCCTGTGTCGCTCCACGTATGTGTGTGTATGTGTGTCTGTGTGAGTATATAAGTTGAGACAGAGAGAACGGGGGTCATCTGGGTTTGTGTGTGTGCGTGTGTGTCTATGTCTGTGTGTATATACAGTGCCTTGACTTTTTCCACATTTTGTTACGTTACAGCCTTATTCTAAAATTGATAATTTTTTTAACAAATCCTCAGCGAAAATGACAAAGAGAAAAAACTGTTTTTACACATTTTTGCAAATGTATTAAAAATAAAAATCTGAAATCCCTTATCTACATAAGTATTCAGACCCTTTGCTATGAGACATGAAATTGAGGTCAGGTGCATCCTGTTTCCATTGATCATCCTTGAGATGTTTCTACAACTTGATTGGAGTCCACCTGTGGTAAATTCAATTGATTGGACATGATTTGGGAAGGCACACACCCGTCTATATAAGGTCCCACAGTTGACAGTGCATGTCAGAGCAAAGACCAAGCCATGAGGTCGAAGGAATTGTCTGTAGAGCTCTGAGACAGGATTGTGTCGAGGCAGAGATCTGGGGAAGGTTCCCAAAACGTTGCGGCCTCCATCGTTCTAAAATGGAAGAAGTTTGGAACCACCAAGACTCTTCCTAGAGCTGGCCGCCCAGCCAAACTGAGCAATCGGGGGAGAAGGGCCTTGGTCAGGGAGGTGATCAAGAACCCGATGGTCACGCTGACAGAGCTCTCCTGAGTACCTCTGTGGAGATGGGAGAACCTTCCAGAAGGACAACCATCTCTGCAGCACTCCACCAATCAGGCCTTTGTTGTAGAGTGGCCAGACGGAAGCCACTCCTCAGTAAAGGCACATGACAGCCCGCTTGGAGTTTGCCAAAAGGCATCTAAAGACTCTCAGACCATGATAAACAAGATTCTCTGGTCTGATGAAACCAAGGTTGAACTATTTGGCCTGAATGCCAAACGTCATGTCTGGAGGAAACCTGGCACCATCCCTACGGTGAAGCATGGTGGTGGCAGCATCATGCTGTGGAGATGTTTTTCAGCGGCAGGGACTGAGAGACTAGTCAGGATTGAGGCAAAGATGAACGGAGCAAAGTACAGAGAGATCCTTGATGAAAACCTACTCCAGAGCACTCAGGACCTCAGACTGGGGCGAAGGTTCAACTTCCAACAGGACAACGAGCCTAAGCACACAGCCAAGACAATGCAGAAGTGGCTTCTGGACAAGTCTCTGAATGTCCTTGAGTGGCCCAGCCAGAGGCCGGACTTGAACCCGATCTAACATTTCTGGAGAGACCTGAAAAAAGCTGTGCAGCAATGCTCCCCATCCAACCTGAGAGCTTGAGAGGATCTGCAGAGAAGAATGGGAGAAACTCTCCAAATACAGGTGTGCCAAGCTTGTAGCGTCATACCGAAGAACACTTGAGGCTGTAATCGCTGCCAAAAGTGCTTCAACAAAGTACTGAGTAAAGGGTCTGAATACTTATGTAAATGCTATATTTCTGTTATTTATTTGTAATACATTTGCAAAAATGTCTAAAAACCAGTTTTTGCTCTGTCATTATGGGGTATTTTGTGTAAATTGATGAGGGAAAAAAAACGATTTAATAAATTTTAGAATAAGGCTGTAACCTAACAAAATGTGGAAAGTCTGAATACTTTCCGAAGGCACTTTATGTGTGTGTATGTTCCTATGTTTGTGTGTATGTGTTTGCGTTATGTGCCACTGGCAAGTCTTAGCGTGTCCTGGCCTGCTCCAACCTCCTCATCAGCTGTTGCCTCCGCGCCTGCAGCCTGTCCTTCTCCTGCGTCAGCCGCAACTCGTCCACCTCCAGCGACGACACATACTCTGCCGCCTTCTTCAAAATCAGCACCTTAGCCGCCTTCTCGTTCCTCGCCAGCTCGGGCACGTGGTCGCGGAGCGTGAGGAAACTGGAGCGGAGGTCGTTGCGCCGCTGGCGTTCCAGGATGTTGTGGTTTCGCCGCCGTTCGGAGTCTTCGGAGTCGGAGTTACCGGAGGAACCGCCGCTGCGCGTGCTGCGCGTGCTGCTGTCACCGCTGACGTTGCGTTTGCGTTTGGAACCTGCCGTTGCCATGGCGAAGGAGCCGCATGATGTCAAGGATGACGGCGATGATGATGAGGATGATGAAGAGAGGGTGCGGGAAGGTTGGCGAGGAGCGTCAGAGGTCTTGTGTTTCTTGGAGGGGGGTGCGTGGTCATCGTCGGAGGCGTACGGCGAGGGAGCGGCATAGTTGTGCTGCTGCTGGTGGACCGAGCTCTGCTTCATGATCAGCTCCTGACAGTAACCGTTTGACCCCGCTGATCCCCGGTTGCTAACAAATCGGCTCACGACGCCAGATGAGGCCACGCCCCCGGAAGTGGCACCCGTCTTCGGCCGTACTGAGATAGTGACCGTGCCGGTGGCCAAGAGCGACAAGCCGCGCCGCTTCTCCACGGTGACCACATCGATCTCTTCGCCGTCCGAGTCGTCTTCGCCCTCCTCCTCCTCATCTTCGTCCTCCTCTTCTTCATCATCGTCTTCATCTTCTGGGAAAGGAAAACAGAAGAGTGAGTTAGTTAATTGTTCTGACTCACCAACTATGGGAACTATGTACCTTGTGTGTGTGTGTGTACGTTTTACTATAATTGTGAGTACCAGTAGTCCTCACAAGAATAGTAAACCAACAAAAATTCAGAGAAGTTGAGACTTTTTGCCAGTCCTCACTTAGGGGTTCAGGTTAGGGTAAGGGTAAGGGTTAGGGGTTAGGGAAAATAGGATTTTGAATGGGAGTCAATTGTTGGTCTCCATAAAGTCCTCACAAGTATAGCATGAGATAGCTGTGTGTGTGTGTGTGTGTGGGTCTTTCTGCCTCCATGTGTGTGTGTATGCGTGCGCGCACCAATGTGTCTGTGTGTGTGTGTGTATGTTTGGGAGTAGTGAGATCATTGCTCAACTCTCTGCTCTCTGTTTGCACAAGGAGAGTACTCTTAATGCTTACTGTCAGTCACCTATAGCACTAATCTAGTCCCCAGGCTTTTTACATTTTTACACGCTTCATCTGACTGACTTGTAGACAAGCTATGTCCTTTGTTTTCAGTCCTACAACCCTTCTTTGGCCTTTCCTGCTCATCTTTACCCACTACAGAAATGTCCATGTTCTTCTCTCTTGAAAAGGTTTTGACATCACCAGTTAGGCAGTTACTGATGATGAAATGGGATACGCAAAGCATTTAAAAGTCATAATTCCTAATCGGTTTTAAATTGAGAGATTTCAAAAAAGCTATTTAGCTATTTTCATAATTTCCCGCCTTCTTTATTTTCATTACACCTAAGCTGGTATATTACTGCCGCTACTTATCACAAGACTTTAAAAAACAAACATTTGTAGACTTAAATAAATAAAAATAATAATGCGTAGGCCTCTTTGAAGCTGTAAGAAGAGGAACGCAGTCGTAAGCAGTTAGTGATTGAGGCGGCAGCCCCAGTTAAAATGCCTTTGTGATAATGGCTATCATTATCAGCTTAGTTGTTCGTAAAGCAGTGTGGCATTTTACAGCTTACAGTAACCCACTTCTGAAGCCTAGACCCTCCGGAGGCAGTCTAACACACATAAGCACACACGCACACACACACACACTGAGAAGTTGGCACAGGAATCAAAACAGAACCACAGCACAGACTCAGCTGGGTGGTAAGGGGGTGTGTCTCGCCTCTCCCTCTCTTTTCCCCTTACCCTCTCTCTCTTCCCTCTCTTCTCCCCCTCTCTCTCTAGACAGACCACATGTGAAGCTGAGACAGCCTGGATGATTTCATATCTGGCTCACTGGGAAAGTGGGTCGTACTAGTAGTGAGTGAGTGAGTGAGTGAGTGAGTGAGTGAGTGAGTGAGTGAGTACTAGTGAATCTCTAAGGGGTAAATGTCAATAGTCTAAAGTGGCATCCTCTCCTCATCTCCTTTCCTTGTCCTACATTGATGTGAAAGAGATGGTCTGGTGAAAGCCAGCACCTGGTTGTCAGATATCCACCATATTGCTCAAAGCTCCTTTATTTTCCAAAAGATCAGTGCAGATGAAGTGGAGATGGTGAAGAGAGGGAGCAACTTTAGACTATGGGGGTGTATCCTTCATTGTTTTAAATGAATAATGTACAGATAAACATGTCAGAGGTGCATTTGGCTTGCAGGCATACTGTAGGCTTTTTAATAAGTGTTGTATATATCAACATTTGATTTTAGTCATCCCATTATCTGCTATTGGGTGCCAAATGCAGCAAGCCTATTCTGTGCCCATAGGGCTTGAACATGGATAGGATATCTGTTGGTATCTATAGTGGCACTGTCTAATACTGCCTTTCAGGTCCCGTGTAGCTCAGTTGGTAGAGCGTGACGTTTGCGACGCCAGGGTTGTGGGTTCGATTCCCACGGGGGGCCAGTATGAAAAATGTATGCACTCACTAACTGTAAGTCGCGCTGGATAAGAGCGTCTGCTAAATGACTAAAATGTAAAGTCTGCAGTGCGTCTATTACTCTTTTTGATGCTGAGGAAAGTGCGTTGAAAAGAGAGAGATGCGACTTAACGCTGCGAGCAGAAGAAGAGGCCCCTGCAAACGGTTTTATCAAGCAGGCTTGCGGGGCGGGGGAACGTGGTGCGATCGGATCACCGGCTTTAAGCCGAGGCGCTGGAGCGGCGCCAGAGAGACAGCTGTCGAGATGGGAGGGCCTGTTCAAAGCTGCCAGCCCCCTAATGAAACAGGCCCTCCTCCTCTTCTCGACAGCTATCTTCCTTTCGCCAGCGGGCCGGTCGGAGGGGGTGTGCTTTTGGCAAGGCTCTATAGCTCAAGCCTCCAGCCGGCGCTTCCCAGTTGGAGGTCCTTTTTTTTTTTACTACCGTTTCGCAGGCGTCACAAAAGAGCTCTAGTAAGTTTTTCGTACCAGAGTTCCATGCCAACTGCCAAACGATACATTTATGCTGAACTAAAGTTGGGCTATTTAGGGTGTTAGAATAACCTATTATCCTGTTATTACAGAGGTTGAATTTTCCGCTTTGTTGTTTTTACCAACCCCCCTTTCCGAAACACACCCACACACATCCTCAACACATGAACACAATAGTTGCTATAAATTGCTTTTTACATAATGCTGTCTAGTTCATGCTGGTATGGATGGCATTTGTTTAATATGTAAGGAACAATTTCACACCCATGGAGGCCTAGTTATTTCAATAATCCTTGCGTAAAGTGCGTAATCATAGCATCCAACGAACCGTGAAACAAGGCACTTTTTCAAGTAGTCAGTATACTTAGCACGTTCTCGATTGGGACTGTCTGACTGCGCCGAGTACATCAACCTATACAACCCGTGTGTCTAGATGTTCGGTGTCAACTGGATCTAAATTCGTAATGCACACAATCCTCCAATTTTACTGCCATCTGCCGGATGAGGCGTCTGCCTATTACATAAACCCTCTCGTTCACTGTGGCACAAGCACTCACTGCCGCCATCACTGTGTGTGTGTGTGTGTGGAATGTAAAAAGGTAATCCGATTCTGCGCCAGTCATATGAACTCTTAACTTCCAATCACCCCAATTACCATTACCTTAACAAGACAATAATAATAATAATAGCCTAATAATAATGCCATATGTTATTTGAAGCAGAATGACGTCAACTCAACAAACTAAAACTGGGTTTGAGCATTAGTATTGAGGTACTAGGTTATTAGCTGTTGTACTGTACGCTACTGTAATCAAAACGAAGGGTCTTGTGCGCATGCATCCTCGCCGAAGGTATTCGCTTACCGGAGTCGCTCTGAATTTCCTTGGCGCTACAATGGGCAGTAGATGCGGGGATCGTCCCATGTGGACATCTGCTGCTGGTGCTGCTGCTGCTACCGTTTCTTTTGTTGACAGGGAAGGGGAAGACTATCGTGGGGTCCACACACTCCGACTCGGAGCGGCTCAGCTCAGGCGCCTTGGTGGTGATGACGGCGGCGGTAGTGACATTTTTACTAACTCCACAGGCAGCCGCGGTGGAAATGGCTTTGCCTAGCTTCTCTGTGACCACCCTCTCTAGCTTTTCCCTGGCAGAGAAGCCGCTCCACATACAGTCCTGAATGATGATGGAGTTGGGGTTATTATTCAAAGCGGAGCTGCCGAACAGGTCTCCATCCGACGCACCCCAAATATCTTCCTCGGGCAGGAACAGGAGCTCCGAGGTCCAGTCGCACCCCAGCGGGTTGCCTAATCCAAAACCCATGGGACCTTCTGCTGAGTCGCCCGAGTTCCCCACGGACGCCGAGGCCAGCTCCCCGGGTAGCGCCGCTCGGCTCGGGGAGAGGGGCGGCGTAGGCAGCAACTCAAATTTCTTCCAGATGTCCTCTCCGGGAGGCGCAGAGTCGGGACCGCAGAAATAGAAGTAATCCTCGTCTGGATAGAAGCAGGGTTGTAGAGAGTCAAACTCCATGTCGGAATGTTTACTTATCGCCGGCATTCTATCCCACACTTGGAAAGCCTGCAGAGAAGGACACGGAGATAGTTTAGACAAAATGGAATAAGGCAGACACACACCTCCATAAAGTTCCAATTGAAAAGCCCAGATAACTAACACCTTATGCACAACATTCTACAGCCAGCCAGCCAAGTGTTCAAAAGTATTGCAAGTCCTTTGGAAAAAACAGAGGCGAGTGTGGGTAGTGTGCGTAAAATGTGTGACCCTGACTGGCATGAAGTCACCTTTCAACTATGATGGTGTTCTTGGCGTATTATTCAAACAAGAATACCACAGTGAGCAATTATAACTATTAAAACGCATATCTATTCTAAAAGTCCCATGACAATCGTATTCGTTTAAAGGGTGACCATTTGGGAGTCAAAACAGAGTCAATAAAATAGGCGACACTTTCACCCAAAAAAGAAAGATGCTCACCTCGCGTTGACTGAGATTGTGGTGTGAGTCGTGTGTTGTCTCGTCACTCTCTCTCGCAGTTCAGTGATAAACTCTAGGAGCTCACATCTACTCTTGTGTCGCGCAGACAGATCTCTGACACACATTGTATGGTCTGCGGAGTGTTATAGCCTACACTCCAGTCTATCTGTGTGTGTTGGAGGGGAGCTCCACCCACGGAGGGGCGGGGCCGAGCTTGGTTGACGGCGTGAGGCAGACGGGCGGGCAGGCTGGCTGGATGGCTCCCTGTGTAGCTTTCTATAGCTCACGACGGGCTCCAATCCCTCCCCAGAGAATAGATATTACATTATCATCCCTTAGCCTCCATTATGGCTAATTTCCTCCCCTTTTCAGAAATGGATAGGGGTGAATTGCATAGGATACACATACTTTTATGTATAAAGGCTCCAATAATCTATACCATAATTACTTCTTATCCAACCTCTAAAATACATTTGATGGGAGTTCTATTTGTTTAAAGATAAGCATATCTGCTCTTATACTGGCTTGTTATAACAGGGAAGTCACGATGGCCTGGCGCATTGGTCAGTCCTAGAGCTGAATCCAACTCTCACCATTGCCTGGGGTCATTGAGGTAACCGCATAGCTGGATCAAAAAATCGGGATCACTGCGCCCCCATGTGGACAATATTAAAAGATGAGCCCGAGCGTTTCAACAGACTAAGCGCAGTTGTAGGTTATCTGCGATAAATTGTCGAACCGTCAGTTGAAGGCGAAGTACGGATTTTGTTTTTTTATAGTTAATAATTAACCTGTTATTTATAAGCACTACTTACATTAAGCACACTTATAGGCCTACATTGAGTTGATTGGCTACACTTTTAAAGCAGTCATCATAACATTCTTTGTCGTCACACCTCCATGGCCTGCAGAATCAGCTGTGCATTTCTATGTAACTCCACTGGCAGTGGTTGATGTAGAAGTCATCCCCATCCCCTTATTCTAATAACAGGTTTGCAGGATTGTATCTGTAATTACACGCGCACGCTTGGCGTATTGGCACAGGCACATATACAGTGCATTCGGAAAGTATTCAGACCCCTTCCCTTTTTCCACATTTTGTTACTTTTTGACTTATTCTAAAATTCATTAAACTATTTTTTTCCTTCATCAATCTACACAAAATACCCTAAAATGACAAAGCGAAAACAGGTTTTTAGAAATGTTGGCAAATGTATTAAAAATTAAAAACAAATACCTTATTTACATAAGTATTCAGACCTTTGCTATGAGACTTGAAATTGAGCTCAGGTGCATCCTGTTTCCATTGATCATCCTTGAGCTGTTTCTACAACTTGATTGGAGTCCACCTGTGGTAAATTATATTGATTGGACATGATTTGGAAAGAAACACATCTGTCTATATAAGGTCCCACAGTTGACAGTGCATGTCAGAGCGAAAATGAAGCCATTAGGTCAAAGGAATTGTCCGTAGAGCTCCGAGACAGGATTGTGTTATCGTAGAGATCTGGGGAAAGGTACCAACAAATTTCTGCAGCATTTAAGGTCCCCAAGAACACAGTGGCCTCCATCATTCTTAAATTGAAGAAGTTTGGAACCACCAAGACTCTTCCTAGAGCTGGCCGCCCGGCCAAACTGAGCAATCGGGGGAGAAGGGCCTTGGTCAGGGAGGTGACCAAGAACCCGATGGTCACCCTGACAGAGCTCCAGAGTTCCTCTGTGGAGATGGGAGAACCTTCCAGAAGGACATCTCCACAAATCAGGCCTTTATGGTAGAGAGGCCAGACGGAAGCTACTTCTCAGTAAAAGGCACATGACAGCCCGCTTGGAGTTTGCCAAAAGGCACCTAAAGGACTCTCAGACCACAAGAAACAAGATTCTCTGGTCTGATGAAACCAAGATTGGACTCTTTGGCCTTAATGCCAAGCTTCACGTCTGGAGGAAACCTGGCACCATCCCTACGGTGAAGCATGGTGGTGGAAGCATCATGCTGTGGGGATGTTTTTCAGCGGCAGGGACTGGGAGACTAGTCAGGACCAAGGGAAAGATGAACAGAGCAGTACAAGTACAGAGATATCCTTGATAAAAACTTGCTCCAGAGCGCTCAGGACCTCAGACTGGGGTGAAGGTTCACCTTCCAACAGGACAACTACCCTAAACACACAGTCAAGACAACGCAGGAGTGGCTTCAGGACAAGTCTCTGAATGTCCTTGAGTGGCCCAGTGAGAGCCCGGACTTGAACCCGAACATCTCTGGAGAGACCTGAAAATAGCTGTGCAGCGACGCTCCCCATCCAACCTGACAGAGCTTGAGAGGATCTGCAGAGAAGAATGGGAGAAACTCCCCAAATACAGGTGTGCCAGGCTTGTAGCATAATACCCAAGAAGATTCGAGGCTGTAATCACTGCCAAAGGTGCTTCAACAAAGTACTGAGTAAAGGGTCTGAATACTTATGTAAATGTCAAATGTAAGTTACTTTTTTTTTTGTATAAATGTGGAACAAATTATAAAAACCTGTTTTTGCTTTGTCATTATGGGGTATTGTGTGTATTTATGTATTTTATTTCACCTTTATTTAACCAGGTAGGCCAGTTGAGAACAAGTTCTCATTTACAACTGCGACCTGGCCAAGATAAAGCAAAGCAGTGCGATAAAAACACATGGAATAAACAAAACATACAGTCAATAACACAATAGAAAATCTATATACAGTGTGTGCAAATGTAGTAAGTTATGGAGGTAAGCCAATAAATAGGCCATAGTGCAAAATAGTTACAATTTAGTATTAACACTGGAGTGATAGATGTGCAGAAGATGATGTGCAAGTAGAGATACTGGGGTGTAAATGAGCAAAATAAATAACAATATGGGGATGAGGTAGTTGGGTGGGCTAATTACAGATGGGCTGTGTACAGGTGCAGTGATTGGTAAGCTGCTCTGACAACTGACGCTTAAAGTTAGTGAGGGAGATAAGAGTCTCCAGCTTCAGAGATTTTTGCAGTTCGTTCCAGTCATTAGCAGCAGAGAACTGGAAGGAATGGCGGCCAAAGGAGGTGTTGGCTTTGGGGATGACCAGTGAGATATACCTGCTGGAGCGCATACTACGGGTGGGTGTTGATATGGTGACCAATGAGCTAAGATAAGGCAGGGATTTGCCTAGCAGAGATTTATAGATGACCTGGAGCCAGTGGGATTGGCGACGAATATGTAGTGAGGGCCAGTCAATGAGAGCGTACAGGTCACAATCGTGGGTAGTATATGGGGCTTTGGTGACAAAACGGATGGCACTGTGATAGACTACATCCAATTTGCTGAGTAGAGGAGGCTATTTTGTAAATGACATCGCCGAAGTCAAGGATCGGTAGGATAGTCAGTTTTACGAGGGCATGTTTGGCAGCATCAGTGAAGGAGGCTTTTTTTGCGAAATAGGAAGCCGATTCTAGATTTAACTTTGTATTGGAGATGCTTAATGTGTGTCTGGAAGGAGAGTTTACGGTCTAACCAGACACCTAGGTATTTGTAGTTGTCCACATAATCTAAGTCAGACCCGCCAAGAGTAGTGATTCTAGTCGGGCGGGCGGGTGCAAGCAGCGTTCGATTGAAGAGCATGCATTTAGTTTTACTAGCATTTAAGAGCAGTTGGAGGCTACGGAAGGAGTGTTGTATGGCATTGAAGCTCGTTTGGAGGTTTGTTAACACAGTGTCCAATGAAGGGCCAGATGTATACAAAATGGTGTCGTTTGCGTAGAGGTGGATCTGAGAGTCACCAGCAGCAAGAGCGACATCATTGATATACACAGAGAATAGAGTCGGCCCGAGAATTGAACCCTGTGGCACCCCCATAGAGGCTGCCAGAGGTCCAGACAACAGGCCCTCCGATTTGACACATTGAACTCTATCTGAGAAGAAGTTGGTGAACCAGGCGAGGCAGTCATTTGAGGCTATTTAGTCTGCCAATAAGAATGCGGTGATTGACAGAGTCGAAAGCCTTGGCCAGGTCGATGAAGACGGCTGAACAGTACTGTCTTTTATTGATCGCGGTTATAATATCGTGTAGATTGATGAAGTGGATTTTTTTAAAAATCCATTTAAAAATAAGGCTGTAACATATATCAAAATGTGGAAAAAGTCAAGAGGTCTGAATACTTTCCGAATGCACTGTATATCCCACAGGCAAAAACTGGTTGAATGAATCTTGTTTCAATATAATTTCAACCAAAATAATCTATGTGATGACATTGAATCAAAGTGGTAAATTATTTAGAGTTTCAAAAAGTCATTAACATAAGGGCAATTCATATTTTTTTACCTAACTGTTAACCTGAATTCAATGACATGGTGACACTTTTTGTGGATTTCACGTTGAACTTACAATAGTTGACAAATCAACCTAATGTAAATCAAAACTAGACATTGAACTGATGTCTGTGCCGACTGGGATGCCTTGACATTAACTACTTCAGAGAAACTTTTTTGTTTAATTTCCAACCAAATGCCAAATGAAATGACACATGCACTTGTTCTGTTCTATGTTTGTTTTACCCGAAATCAGAAAGAGGTCCTTTCCATATATGAGGATATAGAAAAATACATATAAAGACATGTATTTTGTGTCCTTTCAAGTCACAAAAAAAAAAATGCAGTAAAGCTTTGATATTGTTGATATGTAGCAGTGAAAGAAGACCTTTCCGTATGCGATTACAAAAAAAGACTTGTAGGTACATGCATATCCTTATTTTCTTTTAAACCACTGAGAAATCCAACTACTACTATGCCTACTGTATTCTAATCCCATGCAGTCAATCAAGCTTAGATATTGTTGAAGAGTTGTGATCAGAAGCAGTGGTGGGAGACGAGAGGGAGGGTGACGACTCACAGCTGAGATCAGTGCAAGAGGAGTGGGAACTATTTGTAAGGGACAGGGTTCAGTGTCCTGGGAATACCGACCCGGAACGTCGGATCCCTGCGATTGGAGACGGGATGGGAGCTGTGATGTTCTCCCTTGTTTTCCCGAACCGCTGCTCCAACTGTGACCCAACAGGAACAGCTTCCTGTGTGAGAGCAGTGAGGACAGAGAGTGGGAGTGAGAACCGCGAGAGAGAGGGGGAGGGAAAGAGGTAAAGG